CGTGCAGATCAACACCCTTGGCGATATTGTCTATGTTCGTATGGAGCTTGGGCTTCTGGGAATTGACAACCCCAGCCCCAACGCAGAGATTGCGGAGTCTCGAGTAAGCTTACATGTGACAACCGTCTTTGACATCATGTCGGTGCTGATATAATCCACTTCCAGTTTATCGGTTTCGTGTCAAACAATCGGGCCACCGTCTCACTTTACGCCATGGATGTTGATCCCTGCACCGGCACCACCTCCGACCGGATCATCGCTTCCATGGGACTCCGCGGAGGCCGCAACGCCCAGAACAAATTTGAATACCGCAACGAGATTCTCTTCAGATACACCAGAGAGTACCGCGTCATTGCCGAAATCGACGGTGTTGCGAAGACTCGCGTCACCAAGAACAACCTCACTGCCGGAACATATGTGCAGCCTGTCAATGTCTGGGTACCCGGAGAACAGGACGTTCCTGGAGTTCCCCCCGTCTCGTATGACTTCTCCCAGATGGAGTTCCTGACCAAGGGCGTCGGCGCCGATGATGCGGGCAACGTTTGGGGTCCTCTGGAGCCGTTCCCTCAGACGGGCGTTTTCATCGAGACTCCTGTTTGTGCCGCTACTCCCGCGGCCCGCGACTTGAAGGTGGAAAAGCGGGGAAGCATCGGACGATGGTACGGCAGAGCTCGCGCCGATGCCATTTCTCAGCTTGAGAACGTTGACACCACGGATCCGGTCGTCGTTGTGGCTCCGGAAGAAGCTGCCGCGATCGCCGAGAAGAAACAGGAGGAGGCTGCCAACAATGACTCGCAGTGAAATGCGAATTGGTTGACAGCTCACAGAACCTTCACCTGACGGATATGACGGGACTTTGATGCATTGTCTGTCACCTGAACTTTGAAGTTCGGACATCCGGTATGGGACGAATTTCAACAACGCCCCGGACATCTTTCATTTGTACATGTGGGTGGATTTGGAAATAACTTCTTGTACATATATTGTCGATCTCTGGACGTATTCCTGCGTATGGCATGGCTAGACATTCTATTTTGGAGGAGCCTGAAACACGGGCTTCTCCATCCCGTAGCTGTCAAATTGACCAGGTGCTCCCTGCAGCTTTCAACTCGAGATGATGTCAATTGATGCACTGTCCTCACGAAGTTTACTCTCGAACGGGGCGGTTTGAGACTACGCCCTCCAGAGGGTTATGTCAACTTGTCAATGTTCTCGAGATCAAATAATTCAACTATGTACATGAAAGAGACTTTGCAAACCGCTGCCTCGACTGCGGATGATTCGGGCGGCAATTCTGTGTGCTGTCATAAAGGACCATCTTAATATCGACTCGAGAATTTGGGCTTTAGGCGGGGCTGTTGACAGTGATTGAGGCGCTACCACTGCTGTAGTATCCCTCCGTGGCAACAATCATGTAATTGTGAGTTCCCAAATTCAACCCGACTGAAGCCCAAGCTGCGAAATGATTGCCAGTCGTCACAGTGCCCCCAACTCGCTTTTCAGTTCGCTAATCGACACTGTTAGTATATAACTCTCAGGTTGTTGGATGAGGAGACATACAATGGACCAGTATTGCTGGAATGTTGCCGTGCCTTCAATGCTAGGCTGCTGCACGCGAGTGCTGACGTAGATGTCATAGGTTCCGCCGTCACTCGTTAGAGAGCCTTTCTTCGTAGCACCGGAAGCAGGGTTGTACGTGCCGTAGGACTCGATGATGTAGTACTCGATCAACGGGTTCTGGGTCCAGCCGTACACAGCAAGGTACTAAAAGTATTAGCCAATATCACGCGCCTTGCTCTCTTCTAGTTGCGCTTCTTTCGGGTATGACACCAAGATGAGCACCTACGCTGTTTCCATTGGGGTTGTAAGTTCCCGAGTATTCAATCGTCCTAAGTCGGGAGCCATTAGCTACAGCTTTCAAGACTGGTTGTGATGCTTCTTACTTAGAACCACCAGGGTTCCAACCCTTGCCGCCGACAAAATTGCCGCCTCCTCCGCCCCAGTTGACGCTGTAAGAGCCGCCAGCTCCGTTCGTGTAAGTGACTTGGGAGCCACCGTCGGTCCACCAAGAGTAGTAGTACCCATTGTGATAGCCAGTCGAGCTCGGCGTCGACTGACGTTTGACGACGTCACTGCTTGCAGGGCTGGCAATGACGCTGACAAAAGCTGCAGCGGCCACAAAGAGGTTCGAGAAGGAGACCATCATTGGAAGAGAAGTGAGCGTAACGGAGGTTAGCAAGAGGCTGCAATGATTGTTATTTCGATTCAGGAATTCTAATCAGCGCATCAACTTTTATACTTACAAACGTGCTATGCTTCTGGCGCCGTGAACAGTTAAGATATTTCACTCGCAAGTTTGTGATCACGCAAAAACCAATGGATAGATCAAATTTAGTGAAGTGTGATCTTACATGACGCGCGTTCAATTTACATTTTCTTAATTACATTGAGGGGAGGTATTCAAGCGTGCAAATTTGGCTAAATTCAGACCTATGATATCTCAGGCAGGAAAATCCGGGGTTAAGAGTCCTCTGACCCATTCGGTAAATGGACATGATGATCTACATGTCTTCCCGCCCTTGCAGCGGTAGAATTCAAAAGTGCCGAGTCACCCGCAATTGGATTTCCATTTCCTGGTGAAAGATCATCTTGGCACAATCTATCTTGGCAACATCCATCGCGCAAATCTTTTCTTTGTGACTTTACTATATTCAGCCTCAAACTACGTGGTGGCTTTCTGTCGGCTTATGGATGCAAAAGCGACTTGAATAACATGGCGAAACACACGTATACTTTAGCCTAAATTTTGATGGCTTTTGGCGAAATGTCGTTGCGTACATATACAATGGTGAATCTCACACACTCCTCACTGAGTGCGAACCAAAAGCTTCAGTTTGCATCAGAATCCAGGTTGGATGCTTTCATGCTGCCGAAGCATCCAAGCGACCCAAGCTGTAGCAGACTTAGTGGGAGCCGTTGTAGGGGTAAACTGTTGCATCGTGGCTGACATCTGTTACAATCGTATTGACCAGGGTTGGAAATGGCTCGCCCTTCACCTATTCCCCCGTCATTCGCCTAGCCTCAAAGCCTTGGCCCTCGTTTCTGTTGCAGAATCGGTGAAAGAAATATTCGATATGTGTTATGTCATTTCTCACGAAATGTCTCCCTTTCATTCGATGTTACTGGGCACACAAGGCTCGAGGAAGCAGGTCAGATGTTCTTGGCTATTTTTGTCTCAAACAGTTCCGCCCACCGGCGATTGGCAAAAGGAGAACCATGGAATCGGCATCAGTCTACGCATGTAAGAATTTCTGGCTGATCTTCAGATCATGAGCCAAGTCGCAAATTCTTGCTCCAAAATTCACTTGCAGGATAATTGCTGTGCTCTGCGTCTGACGCTGTGCAGCGATCGTGCGCTCATCGTACGGCAAAACTTGCCGCAAGCTGATACAAGCACTGTTGATCTTGGCAGGGGTGCGAGGCCCCCAGCTGCTTGATGAGCGACGATCTGGAAGCTGTCGGCAAGAATGACAGCCCAACAAGGAAAACGAGCATTCAAATTGTGGCAGTGCACATCGCTCATGTGATTCAAAAGCTTGGTTGAAGCTTCATGATTAAGAATGCTGGGGAGGAAATTCTTGAGCTGATTCGAGAGCATTAATGACGTCTCAATAAGTCAGCTTTGGACGATCAGCCTCAGTAAAGGGATCCAAGGCGATATTAGTAGAGGGATGCAAGGTGAGACGAGGAAACTCGCTACCAAAAACAGCAGGCTGATTTGGTGTGAATGATTCGTTTATCGAGGTGGGCGTTTCTAATATTTTTATCCCGAATCCCCTTAAACAGTCCCAATGTTACCCGAGTCATTCCGTGACAAATTCGACGAAATGGCAAAGATCGAAGGCAACTCGGTGGCCGGCGGCACCGATGGTCACAGAATGGGGGCTGATCTAGGCCCGCCAGGAGTCGGAGAATAATGCATGGCATCTGGGGGAGCCCAATTTTTCCGTTCATTCTTGGCACAAACAAGTCTGCAGCTCTCGCCTAGAACCTCGCGTGTTTGAGAGGGGGGCGGTTTCTCCATCCCCTGGCCACCCAAAAACAAGCATCAAAATATTCCAATAAGGGTAGCAGCAAGCTTAAAAGACGGTTCCATCATTCATCCCTGTGGAGTTCCTCTTGTCAAGAGGCAGGCCTCTCTCAAATCATGCGCAGCGAAACTCCCAAGTGCGGGGGTCCGTGAGGCTTGAAGAGGGTGCTTGAGCGTCAGGACCCCGGAAAAGTGTGCCCATCTACGGCCCAATTGCAGTGTGTGTTGCATTAACTTTAAAGCTTGAAACAGCGATGCGGACAGTTTTTGTGGCAGGATTGGTCGAGTCTGGTCAAGGCAGTCCGACATAACCGAGCTTCGCGTGTGCCGTCGATCCGGGGCCATCCTAGTCTGCGGCACAATAAGCCTCGTTTGAGCTAATGATGTGACGGGATGATCAGGCATCTGAACAGGTGCCTGTAGCAGGATGAGGCTCCAGGGCTGTCATCTCGAGTCAAAAAACTCATCCTTAGTAGAGTTCTGTATTGACCGGTGTCGAGGCTCAGGTGACGCCGCCATCCGGAGTTTCAGAGTGTGGCAGCCATGGCTGTGAGGACATGAAGAGACGAAAAGATATAAGACCTGGAAGAGCGATGTCTCCCAGACCTTGATTTTGTTCCCACTTTGAGCGTCTATCTGGATAACTCCTTCAACTTCTTACTGTTACATTCTTTCCGTGCTGTGCGCGGCTCTTTTTAATCGAGCGACCATTCATTACACGACCTGGAGTCCACTCTCTCATATTGTTTACTCTCGTAAAACCCACACCAATCCATCAACATGAAGTTCTCTGCTGCTGCTTTCGTGGCTCTCGGCCTCTTGGCTGGCAACGTTCTTTCTGGTATGTGCACTTGATGAACTCTTCCCCATGTTTCTTGTGACTAACAACCCAAAACAGCCCCCACCGTTGATGCTAGCGACGTCGCCCTCCCCATCGAAGTCCGTGCCGAAGACTTTGTGGCAAACGACGCCGCTCATCTCGAGGCCCGAGCCAAGAAGAAGAAGAACGCCAAGGCCGCCGGTGCGAAGGCAAAGGGTGCCGCAGCTAAGGGCAACGCCAACGCCAACGCGAAGAAGGCAGCCAACAACAACGCCGGAGCTGCTGCCGCCGCCAAGAAGAACAATGGCAACGCGAACGCCGGCGCGGCTGCGAAGAAGAACAACGGCAATGCAAACGCAAAGAAGAACAACGGCAACGCGAACGCGAAGAAGAATAACGGCAACGCCGCTACCGCGCCCCCCGCCAACGCCGCGCAGTTCTCCGGTCTGGCTTGCACCGATGGCAAGGGTGCTGGATCTTGCAACGCCCAGGGACAGTGCGCTGTCAACGGAAAGACTACAGCGATTGCTGGCCAGTGTGGTGTCGCGGCTGCGAAGAAGAACAAGCGTTGGGTCTCCGACATTGCTCATCTGGTCTAGATGGCTTTCAATGTGTTCTTTCTTTTACGGTTGGGTGGAGCATCGGGACTTGGATGTAGTTAGTGGAAATGACCTCATGAATAAGGGCGGGTAGCCTTGGAGTAATGCTTTCTCCGAAAACGTGTAATCAAAATGGACTCATGCTTTTGGTTTTTAATCCGGCTCGCTCGACTAGTACATCATGATTTCGGCTGACTGCCGTAGGGATCCATGGATACTAAACATCAAATGACAGCGTACATCGATCATCAAGCATTCAAAGAATCGCAGAATTGAAAACAGTTTGTGTCAAAACAGACCTGAGCTCCCGAACGTGTGAGTAGTACATACTACTTCATTCACACAGTGAACAGTACATTTGTCTCATCGGCCCTGCGCGCCTCGAACTCCTTGTGGCCACTGATCTGAAGAGCAGTGCGGATGAAATCTCGCGCAGCTTTTACACTTCTCCCAAGGGGAGAGACCATGTAAACTGGGAATGTTCGACACCACGGACAGTCATCTTCAAGATGATGGAGGTCCATGTCAATAGCATCGAACAACCTTTCCCAAAATACCATGTCTCGTTGTTGGGCAGTCTGTTCCCATTCTCCATCGTCTCCTTTCAAAGCGCCGGCTCCTTTAACATGTCGTCTGCTCGTTATTGCGGTGCCCATGACAAGTAACCACTCCTGCTCGCTACACGCGAAGCCACCCTTGATCAGAATGAGAGCTGATCCGATATGCCAGTTTTTCGCAGCAGATATCATGGGCATGAGATGGGTTATGCTCAGACCAGGCTTTGTTTTCTTCGCATATGCCTCGACACACCTCAGACTTGGCCCGTAAGGACTGGCGCCTCCAATCAGCAGCGAAGTCAACTTGGACTCATCCCCGCACTCGGCGGCGATCTCGATGGGAAAGCTCCCATCATAGGGCCGTTCCGCAGACATCCAAGGTAAGCCGCAAGTCTTTTCCCATCTGCACATCCAGTAGTTTCTATCGTTTGCGTGGGCAGAATCTAGGATCATGCCGAATATCTGCGCATAACCATGGGAGATGGCTTCTTCCAAGCCTGTTTCTACTCCTCGATGCTGCGACCCGTACGCCGGATACCGCCATCCCCAAACAGGGTCTCGTACAGGAGGCTCCTGAAGTGAATAAGGGCAGTCCAGCAAAAGTCGCAGTGCTTCCATTTGCCGATTGCATACAACTTGCATAAGCAAGTCCGCGAACTCTCCTCGCAGCATCCGACCGTCTGAGCACTCAAGCAGAACTGAGAATGTCTCCACATCCCCATACTTGAGTGCCATTCGACAAAAGTAGGTATCGTAGTACTTTTTGATCTTTTTCTTGTTGCCGTCTGGTGCCTTGTAACTTTTGCCCCGCGACATGTCAATCTCGTACTTCACCAGGAGAGCGGCAAGGTTCTGATTGCCACTTCGAATCGCCGCCTCCAGGAGAGAGCCGAGCAGAGGCTTCTTCCTTGTCAGTTTCTTTCGTTCAGCTTGATCGGAAGACTCGTCCGTGGCGATGGGTTGATAGGAAGACAGAGCTTTTGGTCCCTGCGTGAGAATCTTTGAGAGTATCGTGTTGTCGACGTCAGATCTCCTAAGATAGATTTTGGCCACAAGTAAGAGGCTTTCGATTGTTTCTTTGGTGATTGTAGACTTTGAGGGGAACAGGGCGGACTGAAAGTAAGACCCCACCCCCAGTAACGAAAAACCCCCCATAACGTAAACGCGTTAAAACGCGCCACTTGTATGCTACACTATATGCATTAACCTTGCGCGCAACGCTATTGCGCGCCACTATATTAAAAATAAAATCTTTTAAAAATCGTATTACGTTTTTTATACCTAATTATACTGAAAAATATATTACTAGTGTAATTATAGTAGTATGCGTAGGTTAGCGCATATTAGATATAGTATAAGAATAGGGTATATTATATTATACCCTCTATTAACGCCTCTATAGTATTATATTAAGAAGGGAAGTAAAAGAAAGCTAATAATATATTAGTTAGAAGTAGGAGTTAGCGCTAACTACTTAAATACTTATATAAGGGTCTCTAAGCTTTACGCTTAGTTATTAGTAAGTTAGATACTTTATTACTTATATCCTACGTACTACTAGTAACTCTTAACCTCTTAGTAGGAAGTAGATAGAGGGTTTCTTATTTTAAAACTTAGCTATAAAGACGCTAAAAGTATATAAAATTAACTCTAAACGTATAAAGGACGTTATAGTTAATAATATAAAGGAGTTCTTTATAATACTTTACCTACTAGAAGTTTAGAAGATCTTTATATCCCTCTAATAAAATATAGATAAAATAAGAATTATAGAAGGGATATAATAAGACGATTTAGTACTAAGATGTTCTAAGAAGCCTTCTATCTTCATTTAGAGTTCAGAAGAGTATATTTAGACGTCTATTATTAAGTATATCTTAATAAATAGCTAATATCTCTACCCTCTTATTATCTTTAAGGGGAAAACTATTTAGTAGTAATAGTTCCCCTAGAATACTAATAACTTTAAGGGATAATATTTTATAGCTTTAAAGAATAGCTAGATATTAAATAGTATTAATATTAAGTAGCTAGAGAAAGTATTTATCTTATTAATAGCTATAAAGTTAAAGATATAATATTTAAAACGTCTTCTTATTATAAATAGCTATAAAAGCTATATCTTTAATAACTTTATATAGAAATACTATATAAATAATATATACCTAACTTATTTACCTATATACTTATCCTACTTTATATAGCCTCTTAATATATTAGTTTTTTCACCTCTAAAGGGGTTCTATTAGTAATAGCTAAAGGAATATAACTACTTACTTAACTTAGTACTTATTAGTAAATAGAATTTCTTATAATACTATTCATATATATAGAAGGATACCCTTAAGCTAAAGACTATAAAATCTAAGTAAAAGGTAACTAGGATATAGCTAGTTAATATAGTAAAGCCTCTAATAAGTAAGTTTATTATTACCCCTCTAATAAGCATAGAGAAGGTAGCTCTATAGTATAAGAAAGCCCTAATTACTATAGAAACGCTTAATAGCATTATTATATAGATATTAAAGACTAATAGCAATTTATAGTAGTTTTAATAGCTTTTTCATATTAGGTTAAGGTTATTAGTATAAGTTAATAATAACCTTAATAATATATAATATATACTCTTTTTTGAGAAGCTTAGTAAGTATTTAGATCTTAATAATATAGCTATAGTAGATAACTAGTAGGTTATTCTATTACTAGAGGCCTAAGTTAAAAAATATAAGCTAAAAAAAAGAGTATAAGTTAAGCTAAAGCTAAACAAACGCTTTATAATTATTAAAGATATTCACAAGAAGTAATAAGAAGTGTAGAACTATCTAATTAAGCTAGAAGTAGTATTAATTAATAGCGAATTATTAGATAATAAAGATAGTATAAAATTATGTATTAAAGTTGTGGATTCGTAGAGAAATCGTGGTTTATAGTAATATATAATTATAGGTTGTGGCTGCAAAATGCATGCGAAAATGCGTTTGCGTTGTGGGGGGTTTTTTGTTACTGGGGGTGGGGTCTTAAGGGTGAAACAGCGTCCATATTCCGTAACGCGTCGTGATATTTGCCAGCGATGGCTGGGGGTGAATGGCATAGAGACACAAGCCATGTATGTAACTGAATCTTGGCTTTCCTGAAGGAGCTATGCCATCCTGTTGCATGATTTTATCCGCGAGTGAGTTTATGACGCTCGACAGGTTCGCATTCCACGGCAGGTGTTGGTATGGCTGTTGATAGATATAACGTGCCAAGAAAGCACTCGCATCACCACTTTCCGTAAGTTTGCAGTCCGCGGAGGCTCTGCCGGCTGTAGTCTGAGCCCTTTGATGCAGGATGGTGGCTTCGCGGTTCTTTCGCATCCTTCTCAATAGTCTTGTTCGTGAAATTGCCCCCATGACTTCTGTTTCGAAAAGTTCTAGAGTCGTCAGACTTATGTCATGTCATTCATAGAATCAGGTTGCCTTACTGCAAACTCTCATAAGCCGGACTGCATCCCGGAGGTTGGTGTCACTCTCTTCGCGGTATTCTACAACCTCGTCCAAAATCTGGCATAGGCACTCTGTTGGAAGACACATTAAGTTGATTCTCTGTGTTACCGTCGTGAACTTGGGCCGCAAGGCCAGTTCCCTGATCTGTTGTGTCTTCATTTTGAGTGGCAATATGTGTGGTAAAGTAAAATAATGTCAGAAAATGGATCAAAATGCAAACACAGCATGAGTATTTGGCTGTTTTAAACGACAAGAAACAAAACCCAGGCTTGGTACTTTTACTCAGGTTATTTCGATGGATGGGGTCGAAAGAATTGTACTTTGGATGACTCTGGCCTATTTTGACTCACCACACACCACCCCTGTACTGAGGCCAAATTTCTCCCAGGGCGCGTCACCCATAACCGCCCCTGTGGAATCGCTACCGAACCTCTCTGCGATATACACTTAATTCCATGGCAAGTGCCTAGTATTCCTTGCTTGGCTCTTCCGATGATTTCATGATTAGGAGCCCCCAAGCTGGGTGAGGAGACCCTCATTTCTCGATGGCCAGACGGTCCCTACATTCGGAAGTGCCCGGAGAGTGTCAAGGTTGTGATTGCCCGTCTCGATCACGACGCCCGAGAAGATCGCGTGGTCGAACCGCTTGACGACCTTGGTTCTCTCGTCAGCAGTCAATTTTCCGATCAGCTCTTCTCTGTCTTCGTCCTAGAGGCAACCGTCAGCCGTATGCAATCAAGATAGCGGGTACCCCGGGGCTCTGGTAGCGGGAAAGCCTACCTTGCTGCTGCCAAACTCCACGATGAACTTCTCGCCCATGATGCCCAGAGTGCAGTACGTGACGAGGAAAAAAAGTTGTAGTAGCATTGATCGGGAGTCTGTTGTTGTTGAGTGCAGGCAGTATTCTCAGCTTGTTGTTGCGAACATGAATTCGCGTGTTTTTTTGAGGTGCAGCGCGATGACGCATTGACACGTGCGACACAAGAGCTGTTCACACCTTCCTAAATGGGCCTTTTCTAGGAGGAAGAAGGACAACACCGGAGGCCAAAGTCATCGCGAAAGCATTTATCAAAACGATATCGCTAAACATTTAAGACATTTTTCTTTCCTCCTTCGAAATGACTCGCTGTACGTAGTGACCATTGAATATGCTGGGACGAAGCTGCGATGGCAGCCAAACCTTGTGCGCTCGAGCAATCCCTGGAAGTCAATGCTCGGACAGAGTTCATCCTGTCAACTCTAAAAGTTCACTATCACATCCGCTGTCAACTAAAACGAATTAATAAAGTTAAGCTCAGAATTATGCTTGAGTAGCTTAAGTAGATTTTGGCTGCCCAAGGAAACATGTTCGCATTATGGAAACTACAATAACAAATAATTGATTGATGTGACCGCTGTATTCACCCTCGTCCAAGTGGCCGCGGGGTATCCAATGTCGCTGTCATTTTTATGGGCACAATTCCGCAAACAACGCATTCATGCGAGACTGAACGAACATCCTGAACCTGATGGCAGGTCGGTCAGTACCGTATCTGTACCGGTTCTCAACTGTTCACTTTGCTCTTCAAGCAGAGCACTTGCCCTTGGCGTAGTAGCCGCATCGCACAGCGTAGTTGCCAATCTTATCGGGAATGTCATAATCCTTCGTCCCACTTCTAGCACCCCGGCAGATACCGCACCGGAAGTCCGGGTTGGTAGCGGAGTTGGAGAGATTCGATTCGTCACTGGCCATCTTCCCGCCGATGTCGTTTTCGCAGTACCAGATGGCATTGGAAGTTGGAATGCCCTCATACAGAGAGGTATCGACATGCGAGTTGTAAAAGAAGGCGCAGTACTTGGCAGCGACGGCTGCGGCCAAGGTGGCCAATATTAAAGTACCGAAGCCTTGCATGTTAGTGAAGCTTATGGCAGTTCTTGTGGAGATGGTTCGAGATTCGTAAATCGTAGCAGACCGATCGTGACACTTTGGTGGCGTCTATTCGCTTTTAAAAGGTTTCTGGGAGCATGATGCTGTACTGCTAACTGCCGGACCGGGCCTTCCTTGCACTGACTCGTGGCATCACCAAGACCTGAACGTGTTCATTAAAAAGAGTTGCGGATCTACATGCCATGAATCAGATACAACCCCTAAACCCTATTACAGATCTGTCTTAATTGATTAAATCTAGCTGCAAATAGCCTAGGAAGTCCCAGTCAAATTACCAGGACTAATCTTTGACACGGATTCTCGCATTCGTTATCCGAGAACTGTCATGTGCACTGCAAAAGTACAGGAGGAAGTGCACGCTGCGCGAATGCTACCACGATTGAATACCATTGGGGCTTTCCAATCAGGGGCTGTTGTATCAAAATACATCCTCGTTATCGGTCAACGTCGGTCAACGGAAAAGTCCGCGCCGCAATGCTTCCAGAAGGCTATTGTATTCTTCCTATCCCACCTCATATTTATGGTTCTGGACAAACAGCTCAATGCCCCATAAGCTTCTGCTCAGTCCCTTGTAGATAGACGTCGCGATTACATAGAATTGCATCTAGCACGGCGACGCTCCTTTCAAGCTGGTATCAGCCTTGATTTCAAAAACACATGTGTAGAAATGTCCAGCAAGTGCAGGGAAAGAAAACTGGCTTTCAGTCACTCTCCGAATCCGAATCTTGTTCAACACCATTGAA